TTACTTTTTAATTTATCTCTTCCCTGTGGCACTTTTACCATAAGCAAAATGTAGGACATGGCTGCAACATTTTGCTTCAAAATCTCTGCTATGTGTCCAATTTCAGGGAGTACAAGTTCCACCCTCTACAAACTAAAGACAGTAAAGGTTTTTCTCTAGTTTGTCATGAATAATCTATTGTTTCTTGTTAAATAATATGTTCCTTTTTTCTGTCTGAGACCAGAAGGCCCCCTAATAAAATTCTGCAAACATTCTGTTCATGATTCTTCATGTATTCACTCAAAATATGGAAGCTTTCTTTCCAGCACTTCTCTCTCAGCCCTCACTAGAACCTACATTTGTACCAATAGTCCCTTCATGGTAATGGAGGCTTTCTCAGTGTGCACTTTCTAACTTCTCCAGGCTTTACCTATCACCGAGTTCAGAGTTACTTCCACAGGTGAATGGAAAATCTGGAAAAAGATTAAATGAATGTTTTCAAGTATCTTACAATCTAATGATCTCAATAATATTAGTAAAACTTGAGTAATAAACTTATTTATATACATTAAGTATTTTTTCATAATACAGTCATCATATATACGATGTTTAATGTTTGGAATAAATTTGGTAATGTTATCCTCTTTACCTTTCTGTTTGAATAATTAAATCTCTAAAATAATATAAAATTAATATTTTCTGTGATAGGGAAAAGTAACTTGAGGGCAGAGGATGCTGTTCCCTCAAAGCAGAGCTTTCAGCTGATTTTCTACATTGGTGTCCCTGTGCTAATTATTGCTGCTGCCATTTTAATAACTCAGAATAAATTAAGAAAACTCTACTGCAGAGGAGAAAAGGAATATGAGAGGTACGTGTATACATATACATATATAAATATGTGTCTGCATTTGTACTCATTAATATTGAATAAATAAAAAACAGCATGTATGTTTTATTAAGAATGTCTAAAACTATAGGTAAGGACCGTATAAAGTGAGCCACAGGGATGCATTTCAAGCTGGTTTTCCAGCCTTAGTCATCACTAAAAGCACTCAGTTTACCACCAGAATCACTGTCAGAGATCTGTCTGCCAAGGTTTATTTAGCCTCTGAAGTCTCTGAGCCTCCACATTGCCAATGGGCTTTATAACAGGTGACAGTGTAAGTCAAGGAAATTTAAAATATATAAATGTATTAAATACACATTCTCAGGTCAATGGGAGATATTTTGTCTTATTTTTATATTTATTTATGTATGTATATATGTATTTATTTTGTATTTTAGTACAATGTCTACAGGGTCTCACTACATAGATCGGACTTGTAGTGATCCTCCTGCGTTCAGCCTCCCAAGAACTGGGATTACAGGCATGTGCCACCAAGTGCAATTGATGTCTCAGCATGCCCAGGGGAAGGGGGGGCAGGGCCAGCACAGCATGCCAGGGAGCAGGCACGTTAATCTGCTGAGCTATTTGGCCTGCCATATGGGAAATATTTTATTAAAATACCCTTTTCATTTAAAGACATCTTTGAACCTCCTTCTATATCATTTTTTGATCTAAGTATCAGAGTTGTTCATTAGGAAAGTAATTTCTGAGGTAGAACTTGCATGCGTAGGTATTAATATCAGGTTAAGAGATAGGAAGCATTATACGTTATGAAGAAAATTAAACATTTTTAAAATTCACTTGCCAATTTTTAGTATTTTTCCATTTAAGTATTTATTTCTAGTTTTACCTCCCAGAAATTAATAAACAAAAAAGGAGTACATTGCAGAATAAGGAGAAATATTTAGAAAGTTCAATTGAAGCTCTTTTCTATAGAATAACTATGAAATATGGAGATACTGACTTGTAGAGTTACTTTCCAGAAAATAATAAAAGAGAAAAAATGAGTATGCTTCATGATGAAAAAGAGTTAGAAAATGTATAGAAAAGTTAATTGAATCTTTTTTGTAAGGCAGGTGGAACCTAGAATTAGAGATGCTTATAATTTGGGGTATAACTTTTTAGCTGGCAGTTGCACACAGCTTCTTTTCTTCTCTGTTAAACACTGTTAGTGCTCAAATTAAAAGTGAGCTCACAAAAATGTTTAAATTCATAATAAGGTTTTAAAAATTCTTAAAATAGACTGGACATTGTGGCATGTGCCTGTAATTCCAGCTCTTGGAAGGCTGAACACAGGCAGATCACTATGAGTCTGATCTACATAGTGAGACCCTGGCAGCTCTGTAGAACCTTACTAAAATATAAAAAAATAAATAAATTCTTAAAATAAGACTGTGCAACATTTATTGCATGATTGTTGTAGGCTTTTTAGATTTAAAAAAAAAATTGAGACAAAGTCTCTCTATGCAATTCAGGTTGGCCTTGAATCCACTATGTAGCAAGGCTAGCCTTGAGCTCATGCCAATCCCCTTCCTGCTTCAGCCTCTTGAGTGCTTGGATTACAGGTATTTACCACCATTCCTCACAGCTAACCACACATATATATAAAATAAGGGGCTGACTATGAATAGGTATGTTTCTACCATAAGTACTGAATGAGTATAAAATGAGGGTAAGAAGAGTAAACAAAAGAGGGAAGTTTGGGCACTTGTTCTAATATTGTAATAGTACTTATTTGTTTTGATTTATCTTGAAAGAAGGGACTTAAAAGATCCTATTAGCATAAAGTAGAGATTTCAAATAGTCCTTTAACTGTTGAGATTTAAGTTATTATCAACCTTAAAATTAATTTTATTAATTTTATAGTTCTGTGTCAGAAGACAGCAGCAGGAGCATCACATTAACTTCCACTGAAAGGTAAATGTAGAATATATAAAGAATCAAAATATATAAAATAAAAGAGTGTGCTATCATCCTAGCATCTGAATATATAAATTGTGTCTTTTATTTTTAGCATTAGAAAATTTTATATTTTGGTGACATTTTATTTTCATATAAACAAATGACTGATACTCAGGGATTTCACATGCACTTACAGTTTTGCTATTATCTCAAAAATTGATGTTATTAATAAAAAGCCTTAGTATTCATTCATTTTATTGTTTTATATCATCTCAGAAAGTATGTCTAGAGCTCACATTATGGAAGAATAAAACAATTAATTTTATTTTTATTATAACATTAGATATCCTCCTTGTATATTAGTACCTAAAATTTCTCTTATACTTTACATAATAGTCAAATTATATTTCAAGTATTTTCTGCATCATTGCACTATCAATTGTAGACAGTTATCTTAATTCTACTCTCAAGGCAGGCATTGTAGAACTTACTAAAAGTAGGTATATCTCTGATTTCTAGACCAAAACTAGTTTGATCCTAAAGTTTTAAACTCAAAGAGATGCACATTATGGCACAAATAATAATGAAATGTATATTTATTACTCCTACACAAAAAACAATTAATAAACTCAAATTTAGTGTATAGAGAAAAGAATAAAGAAACTAATGATTTCTTTGATTTTATGACTTTAAGTCACCAGAGAGTTAAAAATGAATTGTTTTGTATGGATGTTTAGGCTAAACCATCTTACTATGATTTAAAATTATATATTTTGTTACATATTAATTTGAATA